CGAGTTTTCGGATGCATGGTACAGTACCGACCCCCAGCAGCACGAGCGGGCCGATTTTCTCAACGCGCACAGTGGGGACTACACCTCGGCATCGAAAAGAACTACAACGCGTGGAAAATCTTTGACGTCCACTCCAAGGAAACAGTAGCAGCACGCGACGTCATTTTCTACGAACGACTCACGCTACAGACATACCTTGCCAACCTGCAAGAGGACCAAGATCCCACAGGTGGTTTTCGTGGTGATCGAGCCTTCGCCTCGGCAGCAGACGAAGCTGACTGGGACGAGCAGAATGTGGCCAACGCATCAGAAGAAGCCGGACCTCTTCCGTTCTGCTCCGTCGACGTTCCCATGGACGAAGACAACCCTCGCGAAAGTGTCAACGCCAAAACCTTCTACTTCTTTGCCGACAACGGTTACGTAACACCTGCGACAGTCAACACCAACGAAGCAGAACGAGTAGGACCGAAATTCATATCTGATCCAGAAGCGGGAGATGAAGCAGCTTATCTCGAGGATGCAACTCTTCCCCGCTACTCACAGACTGGACTGCAGATTCTCGGACTCGTCACCGCAGTCCACGACAACACTCTCCCTAAGGAGCCTGCGACGGTTCAGCAGGCTTTGGGGGGGAAACACAGGGAAAAATGGCGTGAAGCCATGGACAGAGAGTTAAAGGCGCTGGAGGAACGGAATACCTGGAAAGTTGTCCCCATCAGCGTGGCAAGGAACAAGACCATTCTTACCGGGAAATGGGTCTTCCGCGTTAAAACAAAAGCAGACGGCACAATTGAGAAGTTCAAAGCACGCTGGGTTGTGCGTGGATTCGATCAGGAGCATGGACGGGACTTCACCGAGACATTCGCCCCGGTTAGCCGACATACCTCACTTCGAATCCTCCTCGCGATCGCCGCCATGAAGAAAAGGAAGCTACGGCAAATCGATGTCGCCAACACGTTCCTCTACGCACCTATCGACGCGGAAATCTTCGTCGAGCTCCCACATGGTACCAACGGGGAACCTAGCCAAGTCTGTCAACTGCTGAAATCACTTTACGGGATCAAGCAAGCTCCGCGGCTAGGGCAATAGTACCTACACGCTCGCCTCATTCGCATCGGATTCCGCCAACTACCTCACGACCAAGGAATGTACCGACTCACTAAAGACACCGACTACATTCTGCTGATCGTCTACGTAGACGACCTACTCTACATCAGCTCCACTGACGACATCACCACCTGGTTCGAAGGGGAGCTACAGAGGGACCTCACACTCACGGTCTCCTCTACCGTCACACAGTACCTCGGCTTAAACATTCGGGAAGAAGAAGGCGCGATCTACCTCAACGCCGCTAAGTACGCCGACACCATCGCCAAACGCTTCGCGCTCACACCTACCACCATCTCTACGCCCTACCGCTACGCAACAGGAAACCACAAGGAAGGATCCTCTCTACTCAAATCCGCCGGGATACGCGACTACCAGAGAAAGCTGGGTTGCCTTCTCTTCGCAGCCGTCGCCTGCCGCCCAGATCTATCCTACTCCGCAAGCCAGCTCGCCACTTACCTCAAGAAGCCTATGTCAGAATATCATCTTATTGTTCTAGCCTGTAGTGGGGTGCTCTATAGCGAGTACAACCCTTCTAGGGTTTGCTATTTGTATCCTCATTCTTGCTAGTTCAATCCTCTTTCTTTCTTCTAATTTTGACATGCTATCAGAGCAGGTCGATCCCCTTGGATCGATCCTGTGGGTGTGTCCCCACCTTGCTTCCGCTGCTACTTTTTCATCCCGCCGTGCGCCCCGAGGCGCGCGGCGGTTTTCTGCCCGCCGTGCGCCCCGAGGCGCGCGGCGGTTCATTGCCCGCTGTGCGCCCCGGGGCGTGCGGCGGGCTTCTCCTCTACGTCGCGGCCCCGCCCCGGCCCGTCGCCGCCCGTGCGCCTGCCCGGCTCGGCCCCGCCCTTCGTCGCGGCCCCGCCCCGGCCCGTCGCCGCCCGTGCGCCTGCCCGGCTTGGCCCCGCCCTACCTGTCGCGGTCCCGCCCCTCCGTCGCGGCCCCGCCCCGACCGTCGCGGCCCCGCCCCTGCGTCGCGGCCCCGCCCCTCGAAGCGGCCCCGCCCTACGTCGCGGCCCCGCCCCGGACCCTATGCGGCCCCGCCCTACCTTCGCGGCCCCGACCTGTCGCGGCCCCACCCTACGTCGCGGTCCCACCCCGATCGTCGCGGCCCCGCCCCTTGTCGCGGCCCCGCCCTCCCCTCAGGTCCGTGGTGGGCCCCCCCCCCCCCTTTCTCCCCTTCCCCCATTTCCCGTCGCCCGTCGCGGCTCCTTCGGGGGCCGCTTGCTGTGGGGTGGCGGGTATGGGGGTGGCCGGTGTGCCTTCCTCCCTTTCTCCTCCTCCTCCTTCGTCTCCCACTGCTGCAGCTGTCGCTGAGGGGGGTGGTTGTGTGGGAGACTGGGGTTTAGGGTTTTAGGGGGGTGCGTGGGAGTAGAGCTAGTGGTGTAGCAGTGGGTGTGTATCAGGGGGGTGGGACTGTGTGCGGGAGGATGAACGGAGGTTGCCAGTTTGTCGTCAGCAGCACCTGTAGTCCGAGGCGCTGTCCCGGTAGCCCAGTCGTAGCCAGCTGTGCCAGCCGCCCGTGGGTCCGTTGCCCGTCCGCCGCTATTTGAGCCGCGGGGCCTGTTACCCCTGTAGTCCGGGCGCTGTCCGGTCGCCGCTGTGCCAGTCTGCCTCCTGTTGCCCGTGTGTCTGCAGCTTCAGCCGTCGCCTCCTGTCTCCTCTCCCCTCACTCTCCCTCCTCCTCCTCACTTGCCCGTTGTGACTACCACTAGCTTTGCTTATAATTGTAAACTCTAAACTATTTCTTCTTGAACTTGTGCTCAGAATGTGTGGTGACATTGTGATCCACCCTGAGCTTGTTTTGCTTTGCCTGCTCTGCTGATTACACCCCACTTTGGCTATGGGGGTGTGTCAGAATATTATCTTATTGTTCTAGCCTGTAGTGGGGTGCTCTATAGCGAGTACAACCCTTCTAGGGTTTGCTATTTGTATCCTCATTCTTGCTAGTTCAATCCTCTTTCTTTCTTCTAATTTTGACAGCCTAAAGCAGAACACCTGGCGGAGCTCGACCGCGCTCTCCACTACTTCGTCAGTACCTTAACGATCGGCCTAACCTACGACAAGAACACAACCACACCGACTAAATTAATCGGCTACGTCGATGCTGATCACGCTGGCGACTCAGACAATAGGCGCTCCCGCACTGGCTACATCTACCGCCTCGAACCTATCAGACCGATCTCCTGGCAATCGAGTAAGCAGGAATTAATTGCTCTCTCGTCTGCTGAAGCAGAATATATTGCACTCTGCTCAGCCACCAAGGAAGGACTCTATCTTCGCGAGCTGCAGGAAGAAGTGAAGTTAGCCGAGTTACCCAACTTCACTTTGTTCTGCGACAACCAATCTGCAATTTGCATCGCCAACAAAAGTGGATTCGCGAACAGAACGAAGCATATCGCTCTGCGATATTTCTTCGTGAAAGACGAGATTGAGAAGGGGAGACTTGAACTATCCTACTGTCCCACGTCCGAGATGGCAACTGACTGCTTGACCAAGAAGCTCGGAAAACAGAAGTTCGAGTACTGCATGCTGCTGACTGGACAAAGCCACGTCACCAGCAGCGATACTCTAGAAGCGAAGGGGAGTGTTGGGAACAAACAATCTTAAGCGCCTCTGTCGTGTCGAAACACCAAGGCACAAGCGAAGCAGAGCATATCGAGGCACCGGCGAGTCAACCCTCGGAGGTTGAAGTAACCGCTGGAGGTTACGCGATAGTCAAAGGTCAGCGACTTTTGACTTGACAAATGCAGCGCGACAGCAAGGACACACAACTGACTCGACATTGAGCAGTTGCCCGAGTCGCACTGTATCGAACCGCAACAGTAAAGCAGTTTAATTATATCTCTTCGTATTCTTTGTACTCTTATATAGACCTTTGTACTTGCTTGTTTTAGACAACTTACTTTGCCCTCACATACCAGCGCAAGGTGGTTCAAGGAATCCATTTAAACGCTTCCGCTACTACATCACTTTACTTCGAGTTTAACCCTACCAAAGATCCTCAGGGGCACTCAACCTAACAAATTGCACCTACTCGTTAACAAATATGATAAAGAAACTGTAAGAAAAAGGGGGTGTTATGAATAATCAGCCAAAAACGGGGGTTATAGTATAAACGAGGTCGCCCATAGCACCCACCCCGCACAAGCTACCCGGGGGTGCTCAATCATGGGGGGGGGGGAGGGGGGGTGGGGGGGGGGGGGGGGGGGGGGGGGGGGGGGGGGTTGTCCGGGAGAATTCAGTATCGGCTATCCCTCACTTTGCCTAGGGGGGTGTGTCAAAACATATTTGTAAGATCTTAGTTCTTCTAGGCTACAATGAAGTGCTCATTATAGGGTACAACCCCAGTTAGGGTTTCATACTTGTATTTCCCTGTTGCTAGTCATTCATCATTCTTGTCTTCCTACTTTAACACACCCACCACCTGCCACACTTGCCGGCCACGCAGTCTTCCCCTCTCACTCTCCTGCTTGCACCTGCTCCCGCATCCCTCACCCCCCCTCTCCTAACCTCAGCCGCTTTCCTCCTGTGGGCATGCCAGGAGGGCAGTGTGGCAGTGGCAGCGGCAGGCAGAAGGCAGCAGCGAGGGGTTAGCATGGTGCAGACAGGCACCAGGAGGCGGGCGGGCAGCAGGCGATGGGTGAGGACGAGTGGGAGGGGCTGGGGATGGTGCTGCTGGCAAGTGGGGAGAGGCTGGAGCAGCATTGTTGAGCGCAAGTTGTGGGGCAGATGGGTGGCCACTGGGGGCTTAGGGGAAGCGGTGAGGGCCCACAAAGCACCGTGCTGCCCTTCCCTCCAGTTCCTCCCCGTGCCTTCTGTGCCTCGACCCATGTATCGCACTCCTCGTCCTCTGCCCCCTCCCTCCCTTCTCTTCCCCACACCCCACCTCATCTCTTCCCTGCTCCCCCCTCCTGGTCACCTTCACTGCCCCCGTGTCCCGCCCTGCCATTCATCTGCCCTGCCCCACCTGGAAGCGTCTCGTCCACAGCCTTCCCCTCTCCACCGCCTGACTCAACGCCCTGCAAGTCCTGCCGCCCCTCCGCCTCTCGCCCCTGTGCTGCACCTACACTTATCCGCGCGCCGTTCACCACCACCCACTCCACACTGCCACTTGCACCCCTGCCCTCGCCTTCCCCTCCGCCTTCAACCCACTTGCCCTGTGCTGCACTGCTGCCGCCCGATCGCCCCCCTTGCCACTCACTCCCAGGCACCCCTCCCATACTCCCCACCACCCTCTCACTCGCTCTCACACCATCTGCACTGCTCACTGCGCCGTTCTCTGGCCCTGCCCGCCCTGCCCCTGACTCTACCCCTCGTACTTGGCCCCGTGCCTGCCCCCCGACACCACCACACTCCGGCGTGGCGCCAGCATGCGTCCAAGCAGCACTGCCACCGCCACTGCCACTTAACCCACTGCGCCAGTCCCCCCCAGGCACTCTCTGCGCGGGTCCCCCCCCTTGCGCGGCCTTGGGCGCGAGTGGCAGCGCGGGCGTCCTCTCAGCGCGAGCCACGGTGCGCCCCGCCTGCTCCAGCAGGCGCCGCGTCTCCAGCAGCGATGCCATGGCCGTGGCGTCCCGCGCTGCCAGCGCCTCCAGCGACTGTGCTGCACTCGCTGCCTCCTGCATCAGCACCCTGCCACACATACCATGGCATGCACAGCACATTGCCCAGCGTGGGGAACACGGATGCGGGGAAAGAGAAGCATCAACACCCTGCTGCACGCGCGCCCACACTCATGCACGGCATGAGGGAGGCAAGGCAAGAATCCAGGGATAGAGAGGCGAAATGGCTCAGGGTGACACAGCACAGGTGCAACGAGGGGCGAGGGTTGGAGGGCGCCAACGGGAAGCAGGGCGGGTGGAGGCAGGGCGAAAGGGGGGGCGTGTAGTGGCACCAGGCAGCGGCGTACCTTGCTCTCTCCGCCAGCTGTCGGCGCCGCCTCGCTATGAGCTGGCGAGCCAGACGCCTTTGGTGGGTGGTGGGTGAGAGGGGGAGCAGCGCGGGCACGGGTGCAGCAGAGGGCGGCGCATGAGGATGCCTCACCACCGCGCCATTGCCTGCCTCGTCTCCCCCATGCATCCCACCACTCACACTGCCCTGCCCTGCACCGCCATCACCCTCACTGCCCTCCTTGGCCTGCGTGCGGTTCCCACGGGCCTCCACGAGAGTCTTCATGTCCTCCACATCACTCTCCACTTCCTCTTCCTCCCACCCTCCTTCCCTCTCTCCCTTCCCTTCGTCTTCCTCATCCCTTTCCTCGACACCCATGGCTTCCTCTCCCCCTTGCAAGCCACCTTCCCCTAGCAAGCCCACACGCACAGCCAACCCTGTGCTCTCCTCGACTCTCTCCTCGCCGCCCACACCCAGCACCTCCTCCTGCCCCGCACTACCGCCTGCCTGCCGCACGATCAGTACGCGCTTGAACCGCATACCCCCCCCATTCCCCTGCGCCAGCTCTGCGCCCTGCTGCACCGCGCCCTGTGCGCCCTGCGCGCCCTCCGCCTGTGCGCTCTCCGCGGCCATCACGGCCTGCACGAACGCCTCGTCCGCCTGCTGCACCACCACCGCCTCCTCCGCGCCCCGCGCCGCTGCCCCCTCCCCGCCCTCGCCTCCCCCTTCCGCCTCTTGTACCCCCGCTGCTGCTGCTCCCGCTACCGTGTCCTTGGTTGTCTCTCTGCGCTCCCTCTCCCCCTCCCGCACTGCCCTGCGCGCTCTCGCCGGCCTGGGCGCGGCAGCAGGCGCGGGGGCGGGCGAAGTGGGGTGGGCGGAAGGCTGGGCGCGCTGCACGCTCTTCATGCCGCGCGCCACGTTGCTGCGATAGGCCTGCGCGCACAAAGGGGGAGGAGGTGGGGGGAAGGGTGATGAGGAAGGGGAGACAGCGGAGTGTGGGGGAATAGAAGCAACGCATGTGGTGAGGAGAGCTGCTGGCGTGTGTCGTGGAGAAGCACCGCTACAGCATCACAGCTGCACTCACGACCTTGTGCCGTCACTCACGGGGTCAGCCCACTTGGCTTTGATGGCTTCTGAGATTCGCCGCCGGTGCTCCTCGCTCTGCCCCCCCCGCCTCACCGCAACCCGCTTCTCGCTGCTTCCACCGCTCCCCTCACCCTCTCCCCACGCCGTTTCCTCCCCCTCGTCCCCGCTCGTCCCGCCATCGCCACGGCCCTTGCCAGCCGCCGCGGAGCCACCCTCTCCGCGCTCTCGTGGCGGCGCGGCGGTGCGCGGCGCACGGCGCTCGCGCTTTACGGAGGCGCGCGCGAGCACCTCGTCCGCGTACACGACGCGCCCGTTGCCGCACCGCACCAGCTCGCGGTCGCCCGCCAGCCCCACCCGCGCGGCCGCCGCCAGCTCCCCCTGCCACTCAGCCAGCAGCGCCAGCGCCGCCAGGCGCTCCTGCTTTTTGCGCTGCCACGCCGCGCGCATGCGCTCGCGAATCAGCGACCGCGTCTCCGCGCTGCCGTGGAGGGGGAGGACAGCGGCGCAGAGGCGCGCGGGGAGAAAGGGCAGGGGAGACGCAGGGGACGAAGAGGCGGCACAGGGAGCCGTTTCAGAAATGGAGCAGCGGCGAGCGGGCATCAGTGAAATGGCGGCGGCAGAGTGTGGCGTACCTTTGAGTGTGCCCGTGGTCGCGAAGCCGCTCGCGCACCTGCCGCGCAGCAGATGACATGTGGCAAGATTGGGTTAGAGTGGGGGATCGCTGGAGCACACCAGAGGAGAGGCGAGTGCGTTGTGCGTTTCGAAAGAGTAGCACTAGAGTCCAATGCGAGATGGAGGCACGGCACAAAGGGGCAGCAAGGAGTAACATACCTCGGGGTTACTCATTGCTTGCTTCGTTCTCTCGCGGATCTTCGCACGAACCTCTGGGAAAGAGACAAGGGGAAAGCGAGGCCGCACTTTTAGCGTGGTACAAGGGCAAGGCGGAGGGGGAGCGACAGATGCGAGTGTACATACGGTGGAATGGAGGCTGCGCAACTCATGCGCGCACCGGCGCGGAGAGCGCACGCACCTGCGCTCCACTGCCTGCCCTTGTTCCACGGCACTTTGCCCTTGTTCGCCTCGCTGATGCGCCCTCGCCTCCGCTTCTCCTTCTCCGCCTCGCTCTCCTCCGCTTCCGTCGCGCCTGCTTGCCCCTCCGCCTGCCACCCCGCCCGCTGCTCGTCTCGCACCTCATCCCCGCCTCCGCGCCACCTCGAGGCGCCCGCATCGTCCGCCCGCCAGAACCCTATCCCCTGGCCATGGCGTATCGTACCATCCGCGCCCACGGCTTGCGCCTGTGCGCTCCCCTGCGCCCGCCACGCCTGCGCCAGCAGGTCGGCCCGCAGCGACGCGGCAACCACTCCCGGCGCGCACCGCTGCCACTGTGGTGACGGCGGGCCGAGGGCTGTGCGGAGCAGGCGCGCGGTCAAGAGCGCGCGCGGAGGTAGCGCGCGTACTGCCGCGTGCAGCCGGCAGCGGGCGCGAAGGCGATGCGCAGGATGCAGGGTGAAACCAGGCGGTCGCCGCGTGCCGATCGAGCCCGGGCCCAAGGCAAGGCGACGAGTGGGTCCCCGCGGCCCGCCTCGAGTGTGGCCGGCACTCTCCGCCGCTGCGGGCCGTGCCATCCACCCCTCATGCTCTCCGCCACACCCGGACGTCGCAGCGCGCAGCGGCCCCCGAGCCGCTGCGTTAGTGCCACGCCGCACGTCGTGTGCGTGCGGCTGTCGGGTGGCGGTGCAGCGCAGGCAGCAGAGAGACAGCCTCGCGGGGTTGCGAGGCGGAGTGGATGTGAGAAAGACGCGGAGAGAACTGACGGGCGGAGCAGGGAGCAGCGCGGCATGGCGGGAATGGCGCGGACATGGCGGCAGCGCTACTGACGCCATGATCTCGCGCTACCTAGTGACGCAACACATCAAGCGACAGGGGATTTAGGAGCAGCTCCTTGCTGCAGCTAAGCGTCAGTGTTGAAGCACCCGTATCCTGTGATTACGTGGCAGCAGCACACTTGACGACGCGGGTTCCCTCTGATATCACTTCCGAGTTGCGGGGGAGGGTTTGGGGTTTCATGCTTCAAATATCACAGAGTTGGTGGGGGGAATGAGTAAAGCATCCCACCAAAGCAAGTCCGATCAGGGTCACGCGAACCTGGTTGGTGGAGTTCGGGTTACCCACAAATAGAGATATCATGGATGAGGGCGCGTCCTTTTCCTCCATAGATCCACCCTCGACCTATCACGGACCTCCTGCACTTGGAACTCTAGCATCTCAATTCACACGGTAACCAGTTTTCAATATGGCTTGCTAACGTTCAGAAATTGACAATCAGTGCGACTTCGTACCCACACAGACTTCATTTTTTCCCCGCAATAGAACGATCCTGCGTAGGATCGGTGCTGGGATCGAACAGAGGTTACGCGTCCTTACGATCGATGAGAAGGCATCTATTTTTTCCCTACACGCTCGATCCTGTCTTCATGGGTTCGATACTGGCCCGCGATCGCAAATCTGCTGTCACATCCTACCAATCGTGCCCCGATCCTGCGATCGGTGTGCCCGATCGGTTTTTCACGGCGATCTTGCGATCGATCGAGGGAGAGAACGCTACTAAGGGCGCGTCACAATTGAAACTTAGATCAGGCAAAGGATCGGTGTTTGAGTCTACAGTAGCTTCGCGAATTGGCGAATGGTAGGGTATTCTGTTCTCGTGATCCTTCGCATACTCCTGTCACAAGAAGATTGTCCAATATTTAGCCGACATCGCACTGAAATCCCTTTTTAAATATTTGAAGTGCTCCGAAACGTTTAGAACTGCGCTACGATTGGAACCTCCGGGGCGATCGTGACCACGCATGTTGAAACCTGGTTGTGGCGATCGATGCTAAAAAATTCAGTGTGCAGTCCCGATCCTCATCCCGTGTCACAATTATGACGCGTCCTAAAAAGCTAGCACTAGAGCTGCACTTCCAAACGAAGCCCACTATGGCAAACTCTGCTATGTCTTATTAGCCCAAAACACATGTGTGACTAAATGACTAGGTACTATGAGCGTATGTTAGGCCCGCTGGTTGAAATTCGCTAAAGAATAGGGGGCAGGGCCCAAAATAACAGGGTAAAGACCATTTTTTTACCTTTTTGCCACTTGGTTTTGCTTATCCTGATCCATGCAATCTAACTGGATTGCTACCCTTTAAATGGTTTTTTGTAAAACAGTTAATGGGTTTTTTTCCCTGACTAGACAGTGTAGCACATGACTTACACTACTACTGGAATGGGAGAAACGTGTCCGAACTATGCTCTAGGCTGTATTGGGGTACTCCTTAAGGGGTACAACCCAATTAGGTTTTGCCTATACAAACCTTGTACTGTTGTGTTTCTGATCATTCTTCACTCCTAATTCTGACATAGTTTCATAGCAGGTTCCCTAGTGGGAACGTTTTTTATAGGGCCCGCCACGAGAAAATATTTTTTTTCCTGCCCTGCCCGAAGCGCGCCTCGCGCCTGCCTCACCAGCGCCGTCGCGCACCCTGCTCTACTGCCGCCCGTAGCGGCCCTGCCCTTTCGCGGCCCGTCGCGGCCCTGACCTAGCCGCCCGTCGCGGCCCTGCCCTGTCGCCGCCCTTCGCGGCCTGCCCTAGCTGCTTGTCGTGGACTGACCTAGCCGCCCGTCGCGACCCTGCCCTGCCGCCCCTTGTCGCGGCCCTGACCTCTCCGCCAGTCGCGACCCTGCCCTGCCGCCACCTGTCGCGGCCCTGTCCTGCTGCCGCCCTGTCGCGGCCCTGCCCTGCCGCCGCCTCGTCACGGCCCTGCCCTACAGCCGCCCCGTTGCGGCCCTGACCTAACCGCTCGTCGCGGCCCTGCCCTGCACCCGCCCCTGGTAAGCGCCCGCCCTGCTAAGCGAGCCGTCGCGCCCGCTGCCTGTCGTGCTGCCACGCGCACGCCATACTCTGCCCCGTTAGGCCCACCGCGAGCCCGCCCTTCGCGCCGCCCCGCCTACCCGTTACGCCCGCTGCCGCGCCCACCCGTTAGGCCCGTCGCGGGCCCTGCCTTCGCGCCGCCGCGCCAACCCGTTTGGCCCTGTCACAAAGTAAGAAGAATGACTAGAATGAGAACAGTACAAGGTTTGTACAGGCAAAACCTAACAGGGTTGTACCCCATAAAGAGTGCCCCACTACAGCGTAGAGTATAGTTCTGACACACCCCCATAGGCAAAGTGGGGGACAAACAAGAGAACAAAGCAAGGTCAAGCTGAAGGCGGATCACACATCACCACGCATTCTGAGCACAAGCAAAAAGGCCACAAGGACAGTTCACATGCAGAATTATATATCAAGGAGAACAAGCAGTGTAGTGATCTCAACCTAACAAGCGTAAGCATGCAGGTGCAGGTATATACAGATCACAGTACAAGCAAAGTCAAGAGGTGAGCAAGTGATGCCAGGTAGGCACAAGACCTAGTGAGAGAATTGAAACGAGAATGAATCAACTATGAAATGAGTGAGTACAAGTACTAACCCTAATTGGGTTGTACCCCCTATGGGATACCCCACTATAGCCTACACAAATGTATAAGCTATATAGCATTCTGACACACCCCCATAGGCAAAGTGGGGGAGAACAAGGGGTCACAAGACCAGTCAAGTAAAGCAAAGCAAAGCAAGCTCAGGGTGGATCACAAAGTCACCACACAGTCCGAGCACAGGGTCAAGGCCACACGGCCAGTTCACATGCAAGAGTACACACATATATATAAAGCTAGACAAGCAAGAGCAGGTATATATATATGTGAGAGTACAAGCAAGGTCAAGAGGAGAGCAAGTGAGGCAAGACGGGCACAATACCCAGCTGAGTGCAGAAGCGCTGATGATCACAAGGCGGAAGTGCCTTGGTGAAGACATCAGCAGTGCTGGCCTCAGAGTCCACATACGCAAGCCACAACTGTCCACGCTGCTGTAGCTCACGAGCAAGGAAGAAGCGGAGAGCAATGTGCTTTGTTCTGTGCTCCAGTCGCTGCTCTCGACACAAGGCCAGCATTGTGAGAGTACGACGGCTTATGCCAGCTATGCTTGCTTGCCTCTACTTTATCATGCTATTTCTAGCATAGGATAATCATATGCATGCATGAATTGCTTGATTTCCTAGACTAGGTGCTTTCCTATATATTATTATGGTTATAGCACCGAGTGTCAGAACATATAGCTTACTCGTTTCTGTAGGCTATAGTGGGGTATCCCATACGGGGTACAACCCAAATTAGGGTTTCCTATTTGTACTCACTTCGTTCACAGTCATTCCATTCTCGTTCATATTTTCTCATGGAATCAGAGCAGGTCCCTTCCTAGGGACTGTTCCTAGGGCCCACCGAAACGCGCCCCGAGGCGCGCGTTTTTTTTTTAGCTACCCTCCGTGTCGCCCTTACCGCCGTGCTCTCGCTTAGGCCCCTCGTCGGCCCCGCTTAGGCCCCTCGTCGGCCCCGCTTAGGCCCCTCGTCGGCCGCGCTTAGGCCCCTAGTCGGCCCCACTTAGGCCTCGTCGGTCTCGCGTAGGCCCCGTCGGCCCCGCTTAGGCCCCGCTTCGGCCCCGCGTCGGCCCCGCTTAGGCCCCGTCGGCCCCGCTTAGGCTCCGCTACGGCCCCTCGTCGGCCCGCCTAGGCCCCGCTACGGCCCCTCGTTGGCCCCGCCTAAACCCCGTCGGCCCGCCGTAGGCCCCGCTCCAGCCCGCCGTCGGCCCCGCTATAGCCCGCCGTCGGCCCCGCTACAGCCCGCCGTCGGCCCCGCTACAGCCCGCCGCCGGCCCCGCTACAGCCCGCTGTCGGCCCCGCCCCAGCCCGCCGCCGGTCCCGCTACAGCCCGCCGTCGGCCCCGCTACAGCCCGCCGCCGGCCCCGCTACAGCCCGCCGTCGGCCCCGCTACAGCCCGTCGTCGGCCCCGCTACAGCCCCGCTACAGCCCCGCTACAGCCCCGCTACAGCCCGCTGCCGACCCCGCTACAGCCCCGCTACGGCCCGCCGTCGGCCCCGTCACCCATGCTGCAGCCCGCCGCGCCACCGTGCAGCCGCCCGTGCAGCCGCCCACCGTGCCGCCCGTGAGCAGCCCCAGCCGCCTGTGAGCCGCCCGTGCAGCCGCCCGCGCCGCCCGTGAGCCCCTGCGTCACCCGAGCCGCGCGAGCCGCGCGAGCCGCCCGAGTCGCCCGAGCCGCCCGAGCCGCCAGTGGAGCCGCACTCCTGCTCCTGTGGGGCCACTGCTGCTCCTGGGCTGTGTTACAGTGCCGCTGTCCTACCCGACTTTTCCTGCCCGGTGAGACTGTCAGCTGCTGTCATGGCCACCCCCACTGTCCTAGCTTTTGACGCTGAGGGTAGAGCCATTGACTTTGCAGTCTGGATTGAAAACCCGTAGCTGTACTTACTGTGTGATGCGATAGATGAGGTCTCTCTCTTTGACTTTGTCTCTGGCGTTGTCCCTGCCCCTCCTGCTGATGCTGACCCCGCCGTTCGCTCCAAGTGGGCGACCCGCGATGCTGCTGCACGTCTTGCTGTGCGTCGCCACCTCCCTTCCTCCGAGCGTGCCCACTTTAGTCAGTGCAAGACCGCTCAGGCCTTGTACGACGCTGTAGTTGCACGCTACTCCTCCCCTTCATCCGCTACGCTTAGCCGCCTCATGCTACCGTACCTCTTCCCTGACCTCGCTGCCTTTCCCACTGTTGCTGACCTCGTCACCCACCTCCGCACTAGTGACGCTCGCTACCGCGCTGCCCTTCCTGCTGAGTTCCGCGCCGCAAACCCTCCTCCCATGAACATCACTCTCTACTTTCTCGTCACTCGTCTCCCTGAGTCCCTTCGTGTAGTTAGGGACCAGTTTCTCTCTGTCTGTCCCACCACCCTCACTGTCGA